TTAGCTAAGTATCACAGGTGATATTGTCACAAAGGACTGAGAGTAAAAAGCAGTTTACATGCTGGAATGTTAACTCCTTAATGCTAAGCCAGCACAGCTCATTTGTTTTCTTTCCCAAACCTTACATTGGCAGATTAATGCAGGAGTTTGTGGTATTCCCCTTTAGGTAGAAAATAACTGCCACATGATATTTTCAGGATTGGTATTGGTTTGTACAATCCAGTGCTGAATTTACTAATGATTAATACAGTAGTCTTAAAACAAAAGACAAATTAAAGAACTTGGAAAGGTAAATGAAGTGAAAGAGTGCTAGGACCAGGTCAGCAAGAAAAGCAAGAAATTACTATTCACTCTTTTAAAGTCATATGCAGCGAGAAGGTATCTCTGTTTTTGGATTAACTGCACTCCTCTTCCCCATGCAGATTTTATGTGAAAACGTGAAACTTTATTGCTTGACCGGGAACCAGAAAATGTTAAATTTGATTTTATACTCACCAAATGGCAATAATCTTTTAAAGCAAAATTTTAATATGTATTGTGGAAAATCTTGAGGAGTTTTATGGATGTTGTTAACTAAGTCAGCCTTTCACTTAGTGTTCCAAAATTTGTCTGTCAGAACCATATTTGGGTTTTTTTTTTGTGTGTGTGTGTGTGTGTTAAATTTTTTACATACATTAGTACTTGATTCATATATTTATGAATTGTTATGCTAAGAGAATAATCTGCATAAGTATGCTGAAAACTGTGGATTGGTGAGGCCAAAAACTGCTACGCCCAGGAAAAGGAGCAAGGACAAAAATAAAACCCATGAGAACCCAAAGCGTGTTAAGCAAGAAGGTAATCAGCGAATAAGTTAGAATTTAATCATGTAAATTAGAATAAAAAATAAAAAGCTAAGGCAGTAAATCTCCCTTGCTGTTTAATTACTGTTTCATGATGAAGCTAATTTAAGTGCTAATAATGGAATAATACTTCATAATAGTCTATTGTGTGTCAGAAATTCTTGTCATCCGAGTTGGGTTATTGCTCAGGTAGCTGGTCTGGGACTTGTGTTCCCCTGGTCCCGCAAACATCTTTGTAAACTCCCTGCTTAGCTATGCGTACAAATGCATTTTTCTTTTCCCTTTTACAAATTCCTTTGGCCTTTATAAAGGAGGATGAAACACATCATTACTAAGTTGAGCCATAGTGAGTTTTCTTAAAGAGCTCATGATTTATAATATACTGCTTTAATACAGACCAGATCGAAAACTACTCAGTTTCAGAACTCGGAATGCATGTCGGTCATGAAAGATCTGGCACATCCTGGTAAAGACATTGTTCATCCTCTTTCTCGCATACTTGGACCAGATAGTGATCAAATAGTAATAAAAATGCTACTTACTTAAATAGCTAGAGTCATTCTTCTGTCATAACGCAGAGGTGATCAGGTCACTTCATAGAGCTCTGGGTTCAGCATGTCAGCAACCAGAAGCTCACTTGTATATACTTAGTGTTACTTATTGTGGATAACTCTTGAGCACTGAGCATTTCTTTAATCTCTAAACTTCAGTATAAACCAGCAGATGGCCCACAGTTTCTTTCTTTCCTTCTCTTCCTTCTGCCTCCTCATCTTTTCTCATTAGGTTAAGATTCCCAGAAAGTAAGTTCAGGTTTTGGCAGACCAAAATGGTAGACTAATCGGTCAGTTGATGTCTTGCCAGCGAGAACTCCAAAGCAGTAAGTGAAGTGCCTTTTCTATCTGGGTTATGCTAGTACATTTCTGATCCAATAATTTATGTTTCATCGTATTTGGAACTCTGAAAGTGCATGAAGTAATGTTTTGTTGTTCTCCCAAATAAACTTTAGCCTGCCACCACATATGTAGTAGTATCCTAGCAGTTTCACCTTACAGTCTAAATTTGACCCAGAAGTCATAGGTTCATTTATGTGCATTTCTGTTGAATTGGACAAAACAAAATATACAATTGTCAGTTAGGTCAGGGCACGGGCAGGAACCCAGTATCCTCATGCATCCTGCCTTCCCGTCGTCTGTTTGATCTCTGTGCTGTTGCAGGTCCTGTGTTTCTGAGGTCACCTTGAGAGCCACCTGGGCCAAAAAAACAGCTTTGCCTGACCAGAATATCCTTTTTTGCCCTTCTGCTTCTTGGATGACTTTTGAAAGCCCTAGTAGTGCCCTTGATAGGATGCTTCAGGTGATTTTTATGGAGTAAGAGACAAGAACAAAGATAAATTTAAGACCTAGGTGTCCTAAAACCTGATATTTTGGTATATCACATTATATCTACGCTGATTTGTGGCCAATGATACTGAGATAAAATTTGACATAGAAGAAGAAATGTTGGAGCTTTTTTGAATCTAATGAATATATAGCAGCAGCTGAGTTTACATTAGCATTAACGTTTCTGTTTTCACTGGTAAGGCAGTAATGGTATGGTTAGAGAGAAACGTTACAGCTGCAGTGTTTATGTTTTTGCAAATTTTATTTTCCTGTTTATTAATGTTTTGCTACGTTCAAACAATTTGTTTTTGGTATCTTACAGATACCTTCATATGGAAGCTTGATTTTCTAGAGCTATGGTAACGCGTCATTAAATGTGTTCATGCAGATACTCAGTCCATTAATTGACTCACACAAATATTAGAAATTTTTGCACCAGTTCCACAAGGTTTTTTCCCAAAGTTGACCTTTTTGAGTACATCTCACTGTCGACTTCTTGCACGACTTGCAGGGGCCTGTGGGATGCTATATGTGGCTTTACAGAATGTTACTTGTGTGACTGGTGCTGTCAGTTATTTGCTGTTACTAATAATTAAAAAAGAAAATGCATGTATATGAGAATTAAATTTCCAGTTACGTAATGCTTAGTCTTCCTCTGATAAGAATACCATGGGTACTACTCACTAACATGTCTCGTAATTCAATATTCAACATAAAATATATTAATTCTCCAAATAAACTGTAAGATAAAAGACATGCTATTGTTATAAATTGGCACTATTTTCTCCACTAAATTGAATTGCCTATTTGTTAAATATATTGAAATATTTACTTGTCTTTCTGTTTAATCACCACTATATTTATGGTTTTGGAAAGTTGACCCGGAATCATTCCAAGATATCTGCGCTGTGAGAAAGGAATATTGTGCCAGTGAGATTGCTCCTGTGTTAGAGGGAATAGAAACAGCAACTCTGAGAGAACAGAAAACATAAATTACTTGTGAAATGATTCTCAACACAATGGACAAATAACATACCGACAGACTCTTTCTTGGTTTCACTGGTTTCATTTGGTTTCATAGTCGGTTGTAACCGACTGGTTCAGTGTGTAACAACATCCAGTTAGAAAGCTAGAAAATAACACTGGTGGAAAGCTGTTGAAGCCCTTCTGTGCTCGTTTTCCTCTTTTTTCTACTGTGTAACCTAAATAACATTGCTAAAGTGTGAAAGTTACAGAAAACCTTAACTGGTTTTATTACATACGCGTAATAACACAACGATGAAAAAATTAGCCAATTTCAGAGTAATTTATGAAAAAGTAGATAGGTTTGTTTCACCTTGCATTTCATTTTTTAAAATGAAATGAAACGGTTTTAAATTGGAAGAAAAAAGATTCAGATTAGATCTCAGGAAGAAATTTTTTACTATGAGGGTGGTGAGACACTGGAACAGGTTGCCCAGGGAGGTTGTGGCTGCCCCATCCCTGGAAGTGTTCAAGGCCAGGCTGGATGTGGCCTGGAGCAACCTGCTCTAGTGGGAGGTGTCCCTGCCCAGGGCAGGGGGGTTGGAACTAGATGATCTTTGAGGTCCCTTCCAACCCTAACCATTCTATGATTCTATGATTTTTCTTCCAGATGTGCTCACAGAATTGCATACTGATCTGAAGCAAATGTATTCCTCAGTACCTCTATAAAATTGAGAGCTGCGTGAACTTCAGTCTATTTTTTCTTTCCTGAGGTGAGCACATGAAAGGCAATGATTTTTTTTTTTTAGTGCAAGGAACATTTACAAAATTTACTTTCTGCAAACACATTCATTTCTTATAGAATTCATGATGTTTAAGTACAATTAGGTTATAAGAACTACTGGTTTTACTGCCTAATAATAGTTAATTACGGTAAGTACTATTGATTTTTATGATTAGTTACAATGATCGCAATTCCCATTTATGCACTATTCGCTTGATTTTTTGTCCTGTATAGTTAATAATTGGAAGCCTGTGCACAATATCTTAAATACTTTAAAATATTAATCTTTAATACTTCTATTCATATGTTCCATTTAATTATAAATAAGCACTAGCATCATTCACCGATTTTAACAGGTCATGTAACAAATAATTTTAATTAAAATGCCAAACCCTTATCCTAATTTCAAGATTAACATCTGTGTTTAACTTCATTATAAATATAATACAGAACTCAGCCAGTATAAAATTGTTTGGGTTTGCATGTTGAGCAAGCTGTTTGCTGATTATGCTGATGTGGTCAGGGGTCATAGATTCTGCTGTGTGCTGTGCATTACAGATTAATTGTAGTTTGAGATCTAAATATTGGAAGCTTTAACTTTTGTGAGTCTGAAAAGTCTTTTAAAAATGAAAACTTAGTGGTTTTCCAGTTAGTATATTAAATTAACAGCTCTATCTTACACTTGATAACATGTCTACATGCCTGTTTTACTAGGATAACTTTAAATTTGGCAACTGTTATGCTATTAGTAAGACCCAAACCAAGGAGCTTAAACTGTCATGCAGTGTCTTAGGTATCTTCGTGTACATGGCTAGGAGATGGATGTCAGATAGATACTTGCTGTCTTTCAAGATTATATTATCCAATTTTAGAAGATACAGACCACTCTACACTGAAGGGCCTCATCAAGACCCTAATCAATCAGCTTAATCAAATAGATGGACAGGAATTATCACTTTGGTAACAGAAACCTCATTCAGTTTTGTAATGTATGGTTTTTGGCAATCACTGAGAAGTCAGTGTACTTTATCAAAATTACTCAGTGGGTTCGTCCTTCCATTAAAATGCTGTTATTTGAGTGTCAATTAAAGGTGCCTATTTATTGGTTTGTTCCTGTTTTCATAATGGTAGTACTTTTCCAGTTTTAACAAGTTAATGATTTGTTCTGGCTGCCTTGTCAAATATAGGACTTAAGTATACCTTTGTCCATGATAAGTGCTTAAATAATACTGGTGACTTTATTCTTGTGCTGTTTCCATTTATGTCATAAGTTTTAAGCAACAGATTTCTTTGTTAAAATTCATTTTAGAGGTTGTATAAATTACTCGATAATTTTCTGACTATATATTGTTCATTTGAATTGTGGTTAATAACAAAGCTGACTCATTTTGTGCCGACATCTGAAAAGCAGACTACGTAAAGTGGAATGCGAATGCAATAATAAAAGATCTTGGTATCTCTGAACTTGAGAGATGATTACTTAAGTAGTTAGAAACTAGGGTGTCGCAGCATGTAATGATAAAGTTACACTAGCAAAAGGTGGTAAGCAAACAGGCAGGGACCTAATGACATTATGACAGTGCTGTTAATCATTTCCAGAGACATTAAACTTAGAATGTTAAAACTGAAATAACATTTAGATCTTCTTAAAGGTCAGCACTTAAGATGACATAAAGGCACTATGGCAGCATGGACTCATGCCCATGGGTGAGTGGTGATATAGCATCTCCTGGGGAGGAAACACAGAGTTAAATCAGGTGGTAATTGGGAAGGCTCATAAAGGAGATGCAGACTCTAAATAGTCTCCAGACCTTTCTCAAGTAGGAAGAGTAAAATGTGTAACATTTTCCCTCTACGCAAGTAGAGGCCCCTTTTGCCGTCTTCCCCACTGAATGTAAGCTCGCTCCATGTGGTCACTAATGGATGACTGAATTATGGCCGACAATGTTATATGGCTCTAATGGTAACATCCACTCACACAGTTTAATATCTATTTTTTGTTTTGCTTAAGAAACTGAACGTGCATTTAAAAGCAATTTACATTAATACAGTATTGCCTTCAGGCAAACATCATTCCTTCTTCTTGTGCTTTTGAACAGCCCAGCTATTGTTTGAAGTGAGTCATCGAAACAACTGGACTCTGGTCTTGCAGGTGTATGATTGTTACAAAATGGTAAAGAATTTTCTGACAGTTTTAGTTCAATCTGTTTTCACTTTGAATTGGCACTAGACAATGAAGAATTGTGTTCTGGTATTTAGATGAAGTGCTCTGAAGTGCTTAATTTCTGTCTGGCTTTCAGTGATGCATTTTCCTGACAGTCCAGTAGCATCTGACTTGGGCAGTGCTGCCAGCCAGATGTCCCTTCTCACTGTGTAGCGCACAGAAAAACCCTAGTCAAATTATAACTCTGTTTTGGATAGGAATAGTGTAATGGTATCAATGCACAGCTGTGAAAGTTAAATGAGTGCCAAAGGAAAGCCAAATACTTCTATAGTATTTTTATTGGATGTATATAAATGTACACACGTTTTCAGTATGAAGTGAATGACCAAGCTTTGTTCTTTATTGTTCCTTGTACTCTTCAAGGTTTTACCCTTCCCTCTCAGCCACATTGACGGAGTGAGTGAGAGGAGCAGCAGCAGCGCGAGGGCTGGAGCAGCAGCGCAGGGTCCGTCAGCATCATTCTGGTCATGGCAGAGCCTGGTCCTGCCCCTCACAGGATGATCTCCCTGCACTACACTGGAAGGAGGGGGCCAGGCGTTTCCCTGCCCCAGCCAGAGGCTTCACTGTTACGCTAATGGTGTGTTCAAAATGGCATCAATTAGTCTTGATACAGACTTTGTCAGGATGTCTCTGGCTTTGGCCGGCTGTGCCATCTTTCGAGCAGAGCTGTTTCTCCAGAATCCTTCTGTAGCTCAGTTCCTGTCCTGTCCCTCAGTCTGAGGGAATTCCTCTATTCTCTTCTGTGCTGTTTTGTTTGATGACGCTGAACTACAGTTGGAGATTGTTGTTTTGCAGATGCCTCATTGTACACGTCTCGTGCTGCTCAGTAGATGCCCCAGCCCAGGTTTGCAGCCGGTGGTGGAGCCACCTGAGGGGAAAGGGCCAGCCCTGGGTCTGGTCGTTTAGTGCTGTCTTTTTATGGTGAATAAAAAGGAGGGGTATTTGGGGAGTGATGATGTCATTTGGGGCCACGCGAGCATCACCAAAGTGGGCGATGATGTGGCAGAGGAGCAGGTGAGTTGGGGATGGGGGTCACACAGGGTTCCCCCCTAAAAGGTGGGTCATAGCTCTGAAATATCTGAAAAGTCATTGGGGGGGGGAGATTAAAAAATAACAAAACCCGTAAATATGAGCGTGAAGTGTTGAAATAGAGAACAATCTCTCATCTCATTTATATAGAGATGGAAAAGTAATATTTATGTATATAAAAGGAGTTCAGAACAAAATCCTATGTCTCTATGGATTCTGATTCTGTGATTCTATATTATAAAAATGATCTTATAAAAGTATTAAGAAATATTTATAAAAATATATTAGTGTCAAAATAGATGTCTAAGATAGTTTAAGTAGATATTCTACATAATAAGTGTTAATGTCAATGTGCAAGTCTAAGCCTCAACAGGTTTGCAGCAGGTGGTGGAGCTGCCTGAGGGGAAGGGCCCAGCCCTGAGTCTGGTTGTTTGGTGCATTTTTTGGGGTGAAGAAAAACAATGTGTGTGTGTGACGATGTCATTTGGGGCAGCCCGATGTCACCGAGGGAGCAACAGTGCGACTGAGGAGCAGGTGAGTGGGGATTATGTGGGCCTCCCCCCAGAAGAAGCAGGTCATAGCCCTCAAACGTCTGAAAATTCGGGGTGGGGGGGGGGTTTGGGCGTTGGTGGTTTAAAAATGTTAAAAGCTGTAAATGCGGGGGTGAGGCATTGGAATAGAGAACAATCTCTCATTTTTCTATATATTGAAAAATAATATTCCTTTATGTATATAAAAGAAATTCAAAATACCAACCTGTATCTCTAAGGATTCTGTATTACATAAAGGAGTTTAGACAATGAAAAGATTTTTTAAAATTTAAAGAGATACTGAAGTGTCAAAACAGATGTCTAAACAGCTTGCTAGTCTAATTAGATGTTCTCTATCATATGTGTTAATATAGAAGTCTAAATAGATCTGTTAACTGATGTTCTATTTAAGTGCCAAAAGAATGTATTTTCCCTAAATCTGTATAAGTAAATGGACACAGAGGTGTAAATGCCTGTGCTATAGATAGCTCTAAACTGCAAAGAAAGCCTATCACTAGAAGGGCTTTAAAAACTGGCCCTCCCCTCTAATCTCTCCTGAAGGTGTAAAAGCGCTTTCAGAAGCTACGTCTTCCCCCGTTTCCCCTCCCGCTCCGGGGAGCTGGATTCTGTGTAGCGGGAAAGGAGGAAAAAAACCCACCCTCATTTTCCTGCAGGGAAGCAGAAATCCCCGATGTTTCTGTGGTGGTGAAGGCGGCACCGCCACCTCCCTTCCTGGTCCCCGGCGGACTCGCTGCTGTCGCCCCCACGGCCCCGGGGCCACACACAGAGCGCTGCACCGTCCCTGGGGCTGGTTGCGGGGTCAAAACCGCAGGGTTTTGGTGCCAAGGCGAGGGCTGCGGCTGCCTGGGCTGCGAGCAGGAAGCCCTGCCACCGGTAAGCGGTTGCGGTCCCTGGGTGGAGAGAAGCGGGCTGAGAGCAGTCACCACTGCTCACCCCAGTGAGGTCTCAGAGGGGGGACATGGAAGGGGGGGCCAGGCACCCGGCAGCCAAAGGCCGGAGCTGCACGTGGGCAGTGACCCGACCCCTCCTCCGAACCACCTTTGGCTGCGTCTCCTGAGAACTTGGCTCTGCCCCCTGCCCGTCTAGGCCACGCCCCGGGCCCGACCTGGCCGCGCCTTCCAGGGAACGGTTGTGCCAGGCCTGAAGGAGAAGCGGCCACCCCTCCAACCCCCCCCCCGGAGCTCCAGTGGCCTCCCCGCCATCCGGAACGGGTTCTGTAGTGCCCAGCCCTGGGAGCGGCCGTTAGCGCGGAGATACCGGTTCATACCGCGCTCCGGGGCAGCCGGAAGTACTGGTCGGTCCTCCGAGGGGCAATCTCTATGGCCTTTCCCCTTCAGGCACCGGAAGTTCCCCCTCAGTCCTCCGGCGTACGTCTCTATGGTGCCGCGGTCCTCCAGGGACCGGAAGTTCCGCCTCAGGGACCGGAAGTTCCCCCTCAGTCCTCCGGCGTACGTCTCTATGGTGCCGCGGTCCTCCAGGGACCGGAAGTTCCGCCTCAGGGACCGGAAGTTCCCCCTCAGTCCTCCGGCGTACATCTCTATGGTGCCGCGGTCCTCCAGGGACCGGAAGTTCCGCCTCAGGGACCGGAAGTTCCCCCTCAGTCCTCCGGCGTACGTCTCTATGGTGCCGCGGTCCTCCAGGGACCGGAAGTTCCGCCTCAGGGACCGGAAGTTCCCCCTCAGTCCTCCGGCGTACATCTCTATGGTGCCGCGGTCCTCCAGGGACCGGAAGTTCCGCCTCAGGGACCGGAAGTTCCCCCTCAGTCCTCCGGCGTACGTCTCTATGGTGCCGCGGTCCTCCAGGGACCGGAAGTTCCGCCTCAGGGACCGGAAGTTCCCCCTCAGTCCTCCGGCGTACGTCTCTATGGTGCCGCGGTCCTCCAGAGACCGGAAGTTCCGCCTCAGGGACCGGAAGTTCCCCCTCAGTCCTCCGGCGTGCGTCTCTATGATGCCGCGGTCCTCCAGGGACCGGAAGTTCCGCCTCAGGGACCGGAAGTTCCCCCTCAGTCCTCCGGCGTACGTCTCTATGGTGCCGCGGTCCTCCAGAGACCGGAAGTTCCGCCTCAGGGACCGGAAGTTTCCCCTCAGTCCTCCGGCGTACGTCTCTATGGTGTCACGGTCCTCCAGGATACTGAAAAGTTTCTGTCATTTCTCCTGAAATCTATGTCTGTTGCATTTGGGGCCACCAGAACAGCGAATGTGCCTCTCAGTCCTCTGAAAAGAAATCTTTATGGCCCTGCGTTGGGCAGGGCCTGCAGTATATAAGCCAGAGCCCCTGCTCAGTGAGCCTGTTCCATTCCAGGGCTTCTCTGGGGTGAGATCTCTGCTGAGCCCTCAGTGAACTGCAGCTTTGGGGCTGGCTCAGCTGTAGAGGCACAGGTGTTTGGGCCTTTAGAGAAGCAGAGGTGAGAAGCCTGAAGTAAGATATTCAGGACTAGGTAAAGATTGGTAATATATATAGGAGAAACCAGACTTTCAGGCTGCTGTTTTGGTTTTTTTTTCCTTTCCTTCCATCC